TCTGGCAAATATTCCTGGCCACCTCTCTGTGGAGTGGCATCGTACAAATTGCGCCCAATCTTGAGAACACTTCAGCCAGCTCGAGCAATCCAGACCGATTCTCACAATTCAACAGCTGGACGAAGTGTTCTCAAGATTGGGCGATTTGTACGATGCCACTCTATAGAGAGGTGGCCAGGAATATTTGCCAGAGCATTATGAGGCTATATGAGATTGTGTATCATTGCCGTACAGGGTATTTATACACGACTTTCAAGTGACTACACACTGAGGCCAAGCAATGTCTGCCATTGGGTACTGCCAAAAAGCACAGGGTGCAGCTCGAAAGGAGTTTAATGGGGGTGATAAAGTGAATAAAGTGAAGCATTTCAAATTGAGAAAGTTAAGTGAGAAGGTGTAAAAGAGAAATGAGCGTGGTGGTCTGGTATTCTTTACTGTTGCTAGGCACTTTTAGAAAAGTACCAGGTTACTTGAGTCAATTTAGGCTAACTGTGAAACATTTCAAAGTAGTCGGACGCAAGAATTTTGTCAATTAGCAACCCTACAAAGAATCCCTCAAACTCAATTTTGATCAATCTACAAGTTGATTTCAATCTTGATTGTAATCTTACATGTTTAAATTTGCAATATAGCTTTGTTACATGTCCACACCTAAATGGCAGAATTGGTCTACTTTCCCAAAAACGGTTTATACACTGTATATGCAAAAAAATGGATTTCTTTCTCATGAAGTACATAATAGTTTATAAAAATGGCCTGAAGGCGCAGGTTTACTGTAAATGACCGCAACTGAAATACACCGTACATTTGGTTCAAATTACATCAGAACATTTTTTTTCAAATTACGTCAGAACAAACCTGGCCCAATTTAACCACCGTGGAAGTTGACAGTAAGGGTCACAAGTTTAACAAGCTTTAGGAAAGGAAACTGCAAAGCCGAGTTGGAGGGTAAGGATAGAAATGTATGCAAGTGTGTGTACTTGGTTGTGTTACAAAAATAAACTATACTCACAACCACCCCAGCCTGTGTCTTCTCTCACTGCTTTACTGGTCAAAGTCTCGTCTTTCTTTCCAGTCTTCAAGTCAACCGGTCTGGTTTGGATAGAACTCGGCCGTCATCACAGGTTTCTCCCAGGAAGGACAGGAACATCAGGACACACCTACCGATATGAACGGATTTGTTAATGTTGAATTGCAACACTGAATGACCATTAAAGATAGCACAATTGGACGATCCCTTTGCTTCAATAGATGTACAAAATCCTAGGCTCTAGAAAGCTGTTAATATCTATTGTGAAATGCCTCAGAGAAAAATGATAACATGTAAATTGCGAAGCGTTGTCTCACCTGTACAATTTTTTCTCTCTGTGTCTTCAGGTCAACTGGTCTGCGGAGCCATCTGGTCTGGCGTGGACAGAAGTTGTCCATCATCACAGGTTTCTCCCAGTCGGGACAGGAACATCAGGACTGCTGCTGACCCTCAGGACACACCTGATAAAAAAGGACAATTAACTTAAGGCAACAATTAAGGCAATAAGTGACCAAGTAAAGATGATATAAATGTTCATGTGACCAGTTACTTTGCCTCTTCCTAGAAATGTTGATGAATGCTCAATATATATAATGTTAGCTGTTATTTTTATCAAATGTTAAGTTTAAGACAAAGTTCCAGAGTGATAATAAGCAACAATATGAATCTTGTAAAGCATTGTCTCACCTGCAGATGCTGATTTCTTGCTGTTGGATCTTCGAATCAAATTTTGGTCTGGTCTGGTCCGGTCTGGTCCAATCCAGTCTTGTCAGGTTCAGACAGGAGTCCTCACTACTGCTCACTACTGCATCAGCCAGCAGCCACCTAACTATGCAGACAGTAGAAGTTACACACTTGTCTCAAACAATACCAAGAGAACAGTAGGCGAAATTCAGAATTCATGTTTTTGTTACCTAATTATCCTCTTTTCTCTCAGCTCCTCAGATCACATGGTCTGGTCTGGTCTGGTCTGGTCCAATCTGTTTTGTCAGGTTCAGACAGGAGTCCTCACTACTGCATCAGTCAGTAGCCACCTAACTATACAGACATTACAAGTTACATACTTGTCACAAATAACACCCTACAAGTGATGGATAAAATGAAGAATTGATATCATATTCACCTGATATTCATCTGCGGTGTCCAAATCATCTGGCCTGGGCAGGAGTCCTCACTACTGCATCTGATCAGTCAGTAGCCACCTAACAATACAGACATTAGAAGTTACACACTTGTCTCAAATAACACAAAGTAAATGGTAGGTAAAATGCAGAATTGAGACTTTCTCACCTGATAGTCATCTGGGCTCTTCAAATGATCAGTGGTCTGGTCCAATCTTCTCTTGTCAGGTTCAGACAGGAGTCCTCACTACTGCATCAGTCAGCAGACACCTAACTATACAGACATTACAAGTTACACACTTGTCTCACACACAAGTAAATGGTAAGTAAAATGCAGAATTGGGATTTTTCTTACCTGATCCTAGTATTCCTCTTGTGTCTCAAAATCACCTGGTCTGGTCCAATCCAGTCTTGTCAGGTTCAGACAGGAGTCTTCACAACTGCATCAGTCAGCAGCCACCTAACTATACAGACATTAGCTGTTACACACTTGTCTCAGATAACAACAAATAGCTGTAGGTAAAATGCAGAATTCAGATTTTTCTCACCTGATAGTCATCTGGGGTCTTTAAATCATTTGGTCTGGTCCAATCTTCTCTTGTCAGGTTCAGACAGGAGTCCTCACTACTGCATCAGTCAGCATCCTAACTATACAGACATCACAAGTTACACAATTGTCTCCAATAACATCAAATAGCTGTAAGTGATTTTCTTACCTGATCCTAGTATTCCTCTTGTGTCTCAAAATCATCCGGTCTGGTCCAATTTGTCTTGTCAGGTTCAGACAGGATTCCTCACTACTGCATCAGTCAGCAGCCACCTAACTATACAAAATTATGTCACACACTTGTCTCTAGTAACACCAAGTAAATGGTTGGCAAAATGCACAATTCAGAATTTCTCACCTGGCCTGATACTCCTGTATCCAGTCATCTGAGATCACCTGGTGCTTCTGTCATCACAACTCTGGGCAGGATGCCTAGATAGGGCTTTGTCCAGTATCGATATCATATAGAATAGAACTCTCATCAGGACAGGAACACCTTTTATCTGGTGGGAAAAATGTGGTCCAGACTTAATGCCCAAACATAAATTAAGTTTAAGAATTCGTCTGAGACAAGTATAGTTGCTCTACAGATTAGAAATTATATTAATCTGCCCTATGAAAGTTTGTCTCAAAATAGCAAGTAACTAGCAAAATTAGAGTGGTGATATACAGGTAGGCATGGGAGGAACTTACTAAATGCTAACTTAAAGGTAAAGGATATATAAGGCCACAGCTAGTAAATTTTATGGATGACATCCTCCGCAGACTCCAAATCTAATGCTAGCGGGCAAAAAAAACAAGGCAGACCAAAAAAACAAGGTTCCTACATTTTAAAATTTTGACTCAATCATTGTACAAATGGTTTTGATTCAGTGGGAACATCACATATACACAGCCAGCATCACATATCACTGCATTAAAGTAAAAAACAAAACATTGAATCAGAGCCTTTTCTTGTCTCCTGTCTTCATAGTTATCTGCCATTCACGTTCGGGCATGGTAACAGACATCTTTGCCCATTTTCGGCATGTTGACCACTGTCAGAGGGCAACAAAATTTCTTCTTTTTGGTCCAAAATCAGGCGAAAATTAATGCGCGCTGATGGCATCCTTAAAAATTACTTGGGCCTAACTTGAAACTTTAAGGACCCACGTGCACATTCCAATAGGTGTTTTGAACCACGCGGAGAAAAACAAAATCTTTTTTTTGTTAGCGCATTCCTTTCAAAAATGCACTTAAAAATATAGTTTATATTCTACAACCACACCGCACATGGAAAATGTGCAACTTGAGCGCAGCAAAACCATGGGAAAATCTTTCAAAATTCTTTCAAAGTCTATCTTAATAAATCAGGAATGGTCTCTTGGAAAATTACGTATACAGAACCACGCCATTTCGTACTGAAATAACTTGTTGAATGACATGTTTTTACTAGTTGCTACAGAATAACGCCAGTTAAATACTAGAGTACTTAGTTGTTTTTTTTTTACCTGCATGAGCCAAGTCATCTCTCAAACCGGCCAGGCATTTCTCCCCCGAACTGTCTCTCCATTTTGACGGTTGTCTTCTCGAAAATTCACCAGGTCAGGAAATCTGCATTCTCTCCTCAAAACACCACGAGATTGACAATAATCCTACAGCGAAAACTTTCCGACGTTCTGCCTTAGACTTTAGAAAGCCGCTCTACCGACAAAAACTCTCAAAAGTACCCGAAAAATTGCAAAAAAAAATTAACATCCCAGAGCGGCCCGTCCTACAAATACGCCATTTTAGACAGACCATGCCAAGCATGTGCTTTTTCTTTAGCCTCTACCAGGCTTCGGGAGGCGGCTGATCATGAAAAGGCTAGAAATTTTCCAAATAGAGAGATAATATTCCAGGGGATTTGGTCCGCTAGAGAGTACAGTTCGGGTGGGGAAAATTGTACCGTCTAGCTGACCAACTCCCCTGGAATGTTATCTCGGCTATTTGGCCAATTTCTATTCTTTCTACCGCCTCCAGAAGCCTGGTAGAGGCTACATTTTCTAGACAGGTGTGCAAAACGACCTGGCCTGATTAATTAATACTAGAGTTCCGGGAACACATACCATCGCCAAGTCAAAGCGTGGTTTTATTTCGCAGTATTCTCTGATGTTGATAGCATGACGTTACTACATTGTACTTGTAAATCCTAGTACTGAAGCTACAATTTTCCCCCTCTTATGTGGTATTTTAAAAGTCCAAGGCAACGTTTAAACGTTAAACCATCCTCGGGCCGACAATCGAACTATTTAATCGGAAGTGTGTTTTGTAAACAATAGTCACATGAGTCTTTAAACAAAGAATCGTTCACACGAAATTTTACTTCGTCCATCCTTCTTTTGAGCAAGACGACAGCACATTTAGTCATGAAGTTGTTGGTGATTTTTGTGTTTTCCTGCGTGGTTGGGGCATCTCTCGGGGTCTCCATCGGTGAGAACAGATTTTCGCTTTGAAGAAAGTTTGTAATTAAGGGTCGTATGACGCCGTAGGATTGTCGTGCGATCATTAACGGAATCTTGGGATAGTCGTACATGCGTCCTGTAATATGTTTTAATGGTCAAAAATGTATGTCGCATATCGGAGGTGGTTGATTCTATTACAGCGTACTTGAAAATTCTACGATTTTGCAAACTTGCACGATGACCTACGTTAAATGTGTCCACGTCATAACTGCTAAACAGCAGCGCAGTTGGAAATTATTTGAAAACAAGTGTTTCTTGTTACTCTCTTTACTAGACCTACTTTAGGCAAGGAAATAAGTATTATTGTATGGAGAGTTAATCCAACTTTCTTCGCACTTGTTTCCTAAAATATACAAAGTACCAAACTCATGACGCCATACCTAACGTTAGTTTAGTTTTCTTTCCATATGCTCTGCCACAGTCCGTATCTTACATATTGATACAAGCCGGCAACCTCTTCTTTGAATATAATTTTATATATATGACAGTGATTATTATTTAGTCTGCAGAAAAGAGCGGTCTTGAGTGAGAGAGTGAGTTAGTCAAAAACACATGCATAGTACTGTAATTTCGTTGCCGATTCGTTGTCTGTACGTATACTGTGCGAGCAAGTTTTCACATATTTTTTGCCTTATGGCTTGACGTCATACAATCATGACGTCATGAGAACATGGCCAGTTGGCGCCATAGACAAATATTATCGTTTGATAGATGATGACACTAGCAAACAATATTATCAGCAGTACATATATATATTTTATTGTAAAACGATAAAGCTAAGAACTCATACCTCCATAATATAGAATAATGAGAGACTTCCTTAGTCTGAAATACATTTCGTTTAATTCAATGTGGTATTTCTGGACGATCCCTAGTACAAGAAAGTTTAACATAGTTTTGTCCCTACAGCTGGGTCCAACCATTGTCCTAACGGGGAGTTCATGGTGAACTGTTTTGTTGACCCCTGTGCCTACACGGATTGCAGGGACGGATATCAATGCGTGTAAGTCTTCTCTCATTGGATAACTTTTAACGACAATTTGGTACTGAATTTGGTGTATAGTAGCAAGGAGCTTAAAATCTACATTCTAGCTCCTTGATAGTACATGTGCATGTAGTTAGCACTCTAAGATTTAAGGTTTTCCTCTTTTTGGTTAATAAAAAAATTAACGGTTTATCCTATTTCTCCTTAGATGATTGTAGTTTTATCATCTTTTATCTTTTATTACTCCGTGAAGGAGGTCAGGACCTCCGGACGGAGTGTTGTGAAGAGTCGTTTTTTCGTGTTCGCAGTCAAAACACTGGGTTCTCTTTGTGTAATCGGCATGCAATTTTATACGCCGTCTGCGGGCATGCCCGTGTTGATGCACGAATGTGTATTTTTGCCGTTGCTACTTTCGCGGTCAATGTAATATTGCAGATGCACCCCTATAGTTATGAGGCAAATTGGAATGGTCCAGAAAAACCGGTTGTTTGCAG